GTCCACACTTAGGTGTGACCCGTGGGCTGCCAGGGAGCTCCTTGGTGCGCAGCATGGGGACCTGCACCATGACCCACGGGCCAGAGCAGCCCCGGCTGGGCTGTGAAAAGCAGGTAGCAAGGACGAGAGCAGTAGGCAGCCAGTGGAGAAGAATCCTTGCACCAGGGTGCAGGTGAGCCCTGGGAAGCTGCTGGGCAGAGTGAGCCCGGGAGGTTGGCCCTACAGTTCAGGGCACGTGTTTTTCATGTGGTTGTTGCCACCCCTGCGCTATCTTGCAGTGCCAGATGTTTGAGGAAACCATCATCAGTGACCGGGTGGAAAAGGAGGCTAAAAGAAGACAACTAGAGCAAGATGCCCTGGAGCTGAAGAGCAGGTAAAGGGGAGCAAAGCTGAAGCAGTGCTGTCCCATCAGCAGCTGGGAGTTAATCATTTGCACCACAGGCTTTGTTCAGGCAGAAAATGGCCTGAGAAAGTTGGCTGGTATGGGGTGGCACAAGCAAAGGACAGATAAAGCCTGTCCCTTTCTTCTGGGGCAGACACAAAGCCAGCAGCTAGCTGCAGGTTTGAGAAGGGAGCGAAAGGGGAGAAGCCAGTCTCCTTGAATGATTTGGGGCTGTGTCCATCACACCAGCCCCACAGGGTGGGTGGTACAGGGAGGGTTGTGGGGCAGTTCCCCTGCTCATCCCCGTGCCACCAGCAACAGATGCCCTCGGCCCCGATGTGGGTACCTTCAGTGTAACCAGCACAGGCCCAACCGCTGCCGCGTGGGCCATGGGTTCCCTCCTGCAGCTGGGGAGTGCAGGAGAGATGCTCTGGCCATTGAGCTGTACCAGGTGACCCAGCAAGTGATTTCGCCTAAGACCTCTCTCTCTTGCTTCCAGCTGCAGGCCTGGTGGAGAGGTACAATGGTCCGCAGAAACCTTGGCCCCTATCAGGCCCTCAGGAAGATTTGGGAGAAACAGCTATCAAAGCAGAAAGATAAAAGGAAAAAGGAAAAAGCTGGAGCAAAGAAAAAGACACGATAAGTAACGAAACCTGGCCACAAACACACTCCAGGGCTATTGCTGGGCAGGGCACTGCGGTCTGTCTGTCTGACATGACAGAAATAAACCATGCAACAGAGCTCAGACTATTCTGGAGAACACAGTTTGTGACAGAGACAGTTAAGGTGAAGCTGCAGTAACTCTTAAGATGTTGAAGCTGCCCTTGTACAGCAGCGACACTGTTTCTCCACTAGAAAGGGGAACTGCATCAAAGCAGTGAGAAACGCTGTACCCACCAAAGTGCTTTATGGCAACATGACAGCTAGTGGGAGGTGATCCTGTTAGCAGCCCAGTAACTCACCTGCATGGGATGCTCTGCACCGAGAACCTCCTCTGCAGACCCCAAAGCACTGGCCGTGGCTGAAGCGTGGCGGTCCCTGTGGTGCTGAGTAAGGCAGGGAGGCTGAGTCCCCCGCACCTGGGCACAAGCAGCGCTGTCCCTGCTCTCAGTGCCGGCATTAGGTCGGCAGGGGGAAAACTGCTGACAGTTTGCAGTGTAAACACGAGGGCAGCCAAAGCACGCAGGTTTCCATTCCTGCAGTCCTGCAAAACGTCAGCACATAGGCAGAATAGCTCCAAATGCCTTCCGACCGAGGGAAGGAACAACGGAAAAAGACAGCCGGCCGCGCTGCCTGCAGGAGCTGACCCGTCACAGCCGTACCCACCGCCCTGGCTGCCATCTCTGCGCAGCGAGACGAGGCAGTTGGCAGGGTGCGAAGCTGTCGGGGAGCAGCGTGCTGCTTTTTTAACCAAGAGGGGAGCCCCCTCTCCTGACACGACTGTCAGTCACATGCAGGTCTGCGCACAAAGCAAAATTAGCCCTGTGCTTGCGCTGGCTGGTTGCTGATGCTCCCACACAGGAGAATGAGCTCGAAGCATACGAAGTCTGCCGTGCCCTTTGTGACCAGCCCCTGCTTACCGCTTACACGTGGTGGCAAGAACAGGGATCGCTCCAGCCCGCTGCCTGCAGGAGCCGAGCCAGGAGCGTGCTTACACCCCACGTCCGCACCGCGGCTCCTTATTGCAGGAGGCACCGCAGAGCAACCACGGGAGTTATGCTCCTAATTTTAACTCCTCTTCCTCATGCGCTGCTGACTTGCTACATTTAATTTAGAACTAGCATCTTCTGTACATGGTGGGTGTTAACAGGTGACGCGTCCGGGTGGAAGGAAGTTTGATCATAAACTCTTCAGAGGTTTTGAGCTAAGGAAAAAGGGGAGGTAGATCTCCACCGTTTATATCAAACTCTAGGCACGCATTACTAATGCAACCAAACAACTGAAATCTGAAGCATGGCATGGGCTGGGCTTTGCTTGCTTTTCAGCAGAGAATAATATATAAGATAATTCTGAAAAATCCTCTGCATCCAGGGATTCTGCTGAGGCCGGGCTCCCCTTCAAGACCCAGTTGCCAAGGCCAGTGTAAGAGCACTCGTTTTTATGGTACATCAAGTCCCTGGAGCCGCAGTGAACAAGCCAGTAGGAAGTTAACGCACTGCACTGGATCGTGAAATAATTCAAAACTTCTAATTCAGTGACCGGTATCTCAAAGAGAAAAAACAAAAAGAACTCCAAAACCATAAATTGCATGGGCACAGCAAAGTCTGCTTCCAAAATCAGGAAGCTCTGTGTCTGTGTGTATAGGGGAAGGGGTAGTTTTTATTTAAAAAATGAAATAATAATAATAAAAGCAAGAGCAGAATTGGGTGTGCTATTCCAGTAAGATGGGGGGGTGCTGAAATCTCAAGTCCCAGCACGAGTGTCCTGGCCACTGGGTGACAGCGTGACAGGGGCAAAGGCTTTTAACCTGGCCGACCCCCCAGCTCACGCCTCCCAGGTGAGAACAGCCAGCTCCTCCCGGCCGCCCCCGCCGCACCCGCCTGCGCCGCAGGCGCTGCTCTCCCCGCGAGCCTTACCCTGCTCGGCCAGAAACCGCAGCGGACTTCTGTTTCTTGGCCATACAGCTGCCAAGTAAATGGGCCGAGCGCATCCAGTGATGGGTGCAGAGAGCAGTGTCCCAAAACCCGGCAGTTTTGAGGAACTTCGCCAGGGTTGGCACCGCTCGTTTTTTCCAGCTACCGAGAGATGGGATCAAAGTACACATCCATGATATTTTCTGCAGGGAAAACTGGAAATCACAAACCCTTTGGAGAAACTGGTTTCCACGGAGGTAAATGGAGAAGCAAGGCTGGAGATTGAGAAGCTGGTTAGGAGCAGGCTTTAGACAGAGGGGCAGACGTGAACACCGGGAGAGAGCTGGGCAGCCCTGAGGAAGGCAGGAACGGAGCTGTCCCAAGTGACCAACGGAGTCACCAGGAGGTCAAAAAAGGATGCCAAGCCAGCCTGGTGAGCAGGGAACGGTACCACGGGGTACACAGCGTGTACAAAGTCGTGAGGGTTTGTGGATCTCTGGCAATTTCTAGGCCTTGCATTTTTTATTCTTTAAATAACAAAAACGAGCTGTAAGGAGGGAAGAGGAACAAACGCTTTGGCTAGTAAGAACAAACCTTTTAAATGCTGCTGGGGTATGAAGAAGGGGTGCAAGTTTAACAGACCAAACCCACAATAGGATAAAACCAAGCAAAAGACAAGAATGGCAAGGAGCACCAGTACTGGCAGCAGCAAACTCCCCAAACCTAGAATGTACACTTTACTTAGAAGGGGGGGAGGGAGGAGCAAGGTTTCTGTACAAAATCATTGCTTCTCAGTGTCTGGGGAAGGTTAAAAATATCCCCAAGAAAAAGCTTCTGGTGTGGCTGCAGAATGTGTGTAAAAATGCTGGAATTTTTCTATTCTGGTTAACTCTGAAAACCAGAGAAACAACCTGGGTCCATTAACTGCCAGCTGTGACGATGGGGAAGGGGAATAAACACCCGACACAGAGGATGTGGCAGTCATTGATGCAACAGAAAAATGGCAGGAAAAATACTGTAATTCACAGAAGTTTTAAAACTTTATTTCAAATTACCCATGGTTTCCTTTTATATTATCAATGTGCTAGAAGTTCACACTACTGGCAGAATACAGGCAATTTAAAATAAAGTATACAATATTCAGACACATTTATATGTAACAGAAATTATGGAATGTATTTACAGACATACAGCATGGGATGAAGCTTTAAATCCTTTACTCTATTAATTACACGTTTACACTGTTTTCAGAAATAACAAAATTAGATTGCTTTGTAAAACATCACAATATCTATACAAAAGAATTTTTTAGATGTCCAAATTCACCTTAGAAGTCCTCTGTTTCTAAAACATTTTTTTCAAAGAACCATTTATAGTCATAAAAGGGTAAAAATATCATTTGCCATTGTGTCACTACCAAGAACGCCAGAGGCGTTCTCGGCGCTGTAAAAAGTTGCCTCCGATTTATTTGAAGCGGGCCACCAAGGCCAGGGCCTTTACGGAAGCCTCCCCCTTCACAAGGGGGAAGACCCAAACCCCGGCTGTTTTGCCCCGACCACCACAACGCCGTCAGGGACTCCCGAGTGCCCGCGCCGCTCGGTGTCGAGCGCGTAACCTTGCTGAGCCTCGAACGCTGCTCAGCGCCCGCCGTGGTTTGAGGAAGGCTGGCGACACAATGGAGTCAGTGTACGAACACCAGCCAGCATGGAACACTCCGATGGATTCCTCCCACGTCCTCCAACACAAATGCCCCAGGGAGGAAAGACAATTGCCTCTTTGCTTTAACACACAAAGTAGAATTTTATACATGTTTTCTTTAAAACAGTCTTTTCACGGGATACAACAAAAAATTGCACATAAATACACTGAAAAAATCCCAACCCATTTTGCAAAACAGAACTGGAGTTGTTTTTGGTGTAATACATTAAATAAACCATATGATGAAACTTCAGGTTTGGAGTTTTGTCCTAAACATCTGGTCAAGATTTAGTGTTTGCCAGCATGAAAACACAGAATTATACACGTCAAACTAACATGACCACATGAAACTGCCAGAGCGAACCGTTGCTGAGACCAAAGCGAGCGATGCCGGGGACACAACGCCTGCCCAGCCACGCAGCCACTGCTCTTCACACCAACCCAGCTGCTGTGCGTGCGCACCGCCCGTACAGAAGAGCAGCTGCGTTAACCAGACACGGTAGGAAATGGCCATTTCTTGCAGTTCAGGCTCAACTCCTCACCCCATTAATTCCTAAAAACTAGCATTAATGAAATGTCAAACTTCCACCAACCTGAATACCGCTAAGTTTCATTTTCCCCAAGTGCTGGAAGCTGGCCTGGAGCAAACAACACACCCTCACAATTCCATGAAGGGAACAGTTTTCTTAAAACGGGAATATTTAAATAGGCCACAAAGGGTGTACTATTAAAAAGTTAACATGCCCCTGTAACAATACAAATGACCTAATTTTGAAAACTAAGATGAAGTCAGTGCCCCCCTTTCAAATTATGCGCAGAGACAAACATACAAGAAACACTTGTGGTCTGTACTGCTGGCCACGAGAGGCAGAACCTTCTACCCAGCAAACTACAGCAGAGACTTCAGACACTTTTATCCAATCCTTTAAGAGTTACCAACACTCCTTGCAAGCAAAATTAAGCGAAACACAAGACCTACTTCAGGAGGAAAGTACATCTGTACGGAGCTGCTCTCTTCCTGTGTGTGTTGCAAGTTATTGGCATTCTCATTTCTTGCAGGGCTCAGGGCAACACGCTTACCCAGTATGAAAAGGTTTCTCTTTTCAGCTGTGCAGTTTTAAATACCCTTCAGGTGTTCTTCCCCACTTGCAATGTGATCAGCCAATGCCAATAAGAAGCAACTGGAATAGTTATGTGAAATAAGGGATTCAACAGTCACCACAACAGACCTTGAAAGAAATACATGAAGCATAACAGAGCAGAAGCAAAACTGCAAATCAAAAGGGGAAGAATCCGGCTAAGACCAGTCCTTGGAGTGTTCCCATGGCAGGTTTCTTTCAGCAAAAATTACTTTTAGCTAGCTTATTCCCAT